GGACTCAATTTCACATAGCCCAGAGTGACCTCGAACTCACAGAGATCCTTCTGCCTCTGCCTCCCAAATGCTGGGATTAAAGGTGTGTGCCACCACTGTCTAGCATCTATGGCTAACAAATTGCTTAGCTCTGCAGTCTGATCTTCAGGCAAGCTTTTTTTGTTAGATCACAAACAAAATATTACCACAAGAGTGTCTCCCGGTTACAGCTGCCTACCTCTGCTGAGCTCTGGTGAGCTCTCGAAGAGCCAGGCTCAGCCCCTCACCAGGGCCTCAGGCAGAACCTGACCAGGCTTCACCACCCTTTGGTGCCGTGGTTTGGTCATTCACCACGGGAGGGAAGCACAAACGTCAGCAGGCTGAGAGCAAGTGCGGGCTCTTGCCAGAGGCATTGCTTTTACATCAGCCTGCATGGTCCGCAGCCAGTAATGAACGAGGCCGGCAGTCCATTAGCAGTGGGCACACGGGAGAGAGAGCAGCTGTCAGCAGCCTCACCTCCAAGGCCGTTGAGAGTGAAGCCAGCAGCACGGACATGGGTTTGGATGTGAGTCTGCATGCAGTTTTTCAAAGACAAGCAAAACAGGACGGGAGTATCAGTCAACACAGCCGGGAGGGCACTGAGAAGCTGAAATGTCAAATGGCCCTTGTACCCTGGGTTCCCTCTGTTCCCAACTGCCAGGTCTGAGCAGGTCTGGGAGGCAACTCTCCAGCAGAATAACCATAGCACAGGTCAGAGGACCCCGGTTGTCTCATCCGAGCTCTCTCTGATGTGACTCTGAGCTCGGTCTTCTAGACAAGCCATGGCTTTTTCCCTTGAATGCCTGTAGTTATGGGAAACTCAGCACCCGCTGGGATGCTCTGAGTACCTGCCCCGCTCAGTGTTTCCACTCATGGCTAGAGAAGTTCCTTTCTTTTTTTTTTTTTTAAAGATTTATTTATTTATTTATTTATTATGTATACAACGTTCTGCCTCCATGTATGCCCGCACGCCAGAAGAGGACACCAGATCTCATTACAGATGGTTGTGAGCCACCATGTGGTTGCTGGGAATTGAACTCAGGACCTCTGGAAGAGCAGCCAGTGGCTCTTAACCTCTGAACCATCTCTCCGGACCCCGAGAAGTTCTTTTCAACACCAGAGCTGAAACGTCCCATCTGCATGCCCCGGTTGTCCTCTTTGAACACAACGTACCCAGCCCAATCACTCTTCCCCCAAGACAGCGTCCTTTTGGGTCTCCAGGCTAACGTGGTTTTACGTGTCCTCACCCTTCTTCCAAATGCTTCTTGGACAAGATCCAGTTTGTTAATAACACCTTCAAAATATGGTTCCCACGCTGGGAAAAAGGAAAATCTCTGCTGCAGCTGTTACCCATCACACACACACACACACACACACACACACACGCTCACCTAAAAATGAAGTTGGCTCCCAACCCTATCTTCACTCTGCTTTCCACATCCTGTCAACGGCTTCTCTGAAGTCCGCGTGCATCGCTCTATGATACGTCCTTGATCTGGCTCCACGTTGACTCTTTCCATGGCGAACAAGGCTTGCAGGTTCAGGCCCAATGCGGGGATGAGCAGGCACTGCCTCCTTGTTCGCCCATTCATCTCGTGGACCACAGTAACCTTCGCCAAGGTCATCACTGTCTCAGTCTGAGCTTAGGGCCAGATCCCGGGTGTGGGTCTGGTTATTAATGCAGAAGTGGCAGAAAGTAAAACAGCAAACATTGGATTCGTACATCAGTCCCTCTAGCCCCAGAGCAGGCCAGCCCCAAGCTTCCAAGGTCTTCTAGGCAGGACACTGTGCAAAGGTTCAGCAACGGCATGGAAGGAGGGCAGCTCTGAGCAGCAGAGGTGCACAGAGACCACAGAAAGGATAGTTCGCCGAGCCAGGGCAGAAATGGGTATGGGGTGGCAGGGTGTGCCCCACAGGCCCATGGTACCTGTCAGCAGGAAGCGGTTTCCAGAACCCATTGAGAGAAGCAGAGTGAATTCCAGGCCTGAAGCCCAGCACCAGGCAGCAGAAATGACCTTACGGCTGGTGAATGGGAGGACCAAAGGCCAACCTAAAATCCCTGACTTCTGGTCCCCAGGAGACTGGGGGGATCCCAGTGACCAACCCGACGGGAATGGGAAAAGCCTGAGGTGCCTGGAGTGCGATTCCCTGCTAGTCACTGGGTAAGCAGGAAAAATCTGACTCAGACGGTAGAGGCGTGTGACCATCAGCCTAGCGTCATTCATAAAACACCCACAGGCACATCGCTCTCCTGTCACAGGTCAGCTCCTTCCCAATCACAGGCCGCGGTCTGGGAGACCCGACAGCTCTCTCTGCATTTATTAACGCTCACTGTTCTCTTGACCCATCTAATTCCTGAGCCCCCTAATTACCAGCCCCTCCAGAAGCCCTTCCTCCTGGGCTCCTGAGAGCTCCCATCCCAGCTGCCTTACTCCGGTTGCTAATAGCAGGTGTTGAATCTAGCTGGGCAAAGGGCAGAAGGCAGGGCTCACTCGAACGTGCCGTTGAAGGCTGCCTTCCCTGCTGCTGCTGACACACTGATCAGTCAGCTGTCTCCCACGGTGCGTTCAGCCTCAGGAATTTATCTAGCTACAGTGATATCCATCCCACATATCTCTGCCTCGTTCATAAGGATATATTGCCAAACGCCTAGCCAAAACGTAAACTCACTCCATCTACTACCTGCTCCTAATCCATCAGCGTGGTGACCTAGCAGCAGAAAAATGTAAGTAGGGAAGGATAGAGGGAAATGAGGTTAATGCGGTCTGGCTAGCTGGCTCTGAATGGTCCCTACCACCTTTCCTAAGGCAGGGTTACTACTGCTGGGATAACACCAGCAACTTGTGGGGGGAGGAAAGGATTCACTTGGCTTACACTTCCACATCACTGTTCATCACTAGAAGACAAGAGAGGACCTAAATAGGGCAGGGAGCTGAAGGCTGGAGCTGATGCAGAGGTCATGCCATGGAGGGGTGCTGCTTATTGGTTTGCTCCCCATGGCTTGCTCAGCCTTTTTTATAAAACCCAGGACTACCACCCAGTGATGACATCACCCATCACAGGCTGGGCCCTCCCACATCAATCACTAAGAAAATGCCCTTCGTGCTTGCCCACAGCCCAGGCCTACAGAGGCACTGTCTCAATTAAGGTTCTTTCCAGTGACTCTAGCTTGTATCAAACTGACACGAGACCAGCCAACATAGCCCATCAACGCTGTGCAAACAGTACCCAGATTCATCGCTGGTAATGAGTGCCCCTACCACACTGCACTGTCCCAAAGGCCTGCAATGAGATTTGTTTTGGAGACAGGGTCTCACTGTGTCCCTGGCTGGCCTCAAACTCCCAGAGATCCCCCAGCCTGTCTCCCAAGTGCGGGAATTAAATGTGTGTGCCACTGTGCCTGGCACTCTGAGATCTCTGCACATTCCCACAGTAAGTGAAGCAGAAGGGAAGAAAAGACACATGAAGCCACTGATGGACGTTTTCTCACATTTTAATTAACAAATCTACAGGAAACCTTCATTAAATCAGGAGACATGATATCAATTATGGTGGCCTGTATATAAAACGTGGCACTAAATATGGCCTCTGGGATCATATATAAAAATAGACATTAAAATGTGTCCAGAGCATGGTGCAGCAGCGAACACAGTTCTGATGGGGGCAGCCATGTCAGGCCTGGACCGTGAAAGCCACTGGTTGTGGGAGTGATTTTTTTAATCTGTTGCTTTCATTGGTTAATTAATAAAAAAACTGCCTATGGCCCATTTGATAGGCCAACCCTTAGGTGGGCGGAGTAAACAAAACAGAATGCTGGGAGAAAGAAGCTGAATCAGAGAGTCACCATGATTCTCCTGCTCCAGACAAACATAGGTTAAGATCTTTCCTAGTAAGCCACCTCGTGGGCTACACAGATTATTAAAAATGGGTTAGACAAATATGTAAAAGCTAGCCAATAAAAGGCTAAAACTAATGGGCCAGACAGTGTTCAAAAAAATAGTTTCCGTATAATTATTTCGGGTAAAGCTAGCCGTACAGGCAACCAGGTGGCAGGACGCAGCCCTGCTGCTCCTTACTATAACTGGTCCTGCGGGTGACTGGTCAGCTCCCAGCAGGGGTCCTAGGTGCTTCTCCAAAGGCAAGGCCCTCAAAGGCACCAAATGCCACAAACCTGGCATGCTGGGAAGAACAGGAAAGGAGCGCCCCTGTCTAAGATTTCTGGATTTCTTCCAAGCTCAGGGACAGACACCGGTTCTCTTTTAGACAAACCATCCTGACTACAAAGGAACTCGGGGCAACTTTTAAACATATTTTTTCCTAAGGAAGTGACCCAGTGCTAACTCAAGGTCATTTTCTGCAGGCTAAGCTGCAGTGCCCTCCAGGACAACTGATCACAATGAGGACGTGATCATCTCAGTGTGAGAGGGCAACCTCAGTGCAGACATTACGCTCCAAGTGTCCAAGAGGTGAGACACCACTGGTCCCTCGGATGAGACCTCACTGAAACCACCCCGTCTGAGCATGGCGACAGGTCAGGGAGAGGAGGGGCCCATATTTCATAGTTCTTTCACTGGCCAGGCTTCCCACTCTGGTGAGTGGGGCCAGGACTGCTATCCATTGGCTTGTACATTCAACAGGCTCCTGAGGCTCTGTGGATGGGGACAAGTGTCCCTGACTCATGTGTTACTGTTGCCCTCAGTCTGGGGACTTGGAAACAGATGGAAAGACAGACAGAGATGCAGGGGAGAAAGAGAGGTACCAGGGGAGACAACCGGGAGGAGACCGGCCTGTGGGCTTTAAATGTGCATCCCACTACCACTTCGGGTCCCAGTGATTGGCATCCTAGTGGATTCTTTTTTTTTTTTTAAATATTTATTGTGTATACAATATTCTGTCTGCAGGCCAGAAGAGGGCACCAGACCTCCTTAAAGATGTTGTGAGCCACCATGTGGTTGCTGGGAATTGAACTCAGGACCTTTGGAAGAGCAGGCAATGCTCTTAACCACTGAGCCATCTCTCCAGCCCCATCCTAGTGGATTCTACCTGGGGGGATTCTTCTGGGGGGAAGCAGCCCCCACCCCCACCCTGAGGAGTTTTACTGAAAGCAGAGGGCTTTCCTCAGCCGCCCCAGGCTTGACTGTCTTGCTGCAGGGTGAGCTGGCATTTTCCTCACCAGTGGCGTTGAGTGAAAGGAGAGATGAAGGACAGAAATGTCGAAAGCACCCACCACCTAGGCAAAAAGCCGGGAGCCACATGGTTGTTAATGAGGGGCTTTCTCTCTAGCAAGCAGCACATTCAGGGGACAGGTGTTCCATGTTAATGGGACCTGGCGCCAATTATTACCATTTCCTGTGTGCCAAGGTAACAGGGCAGTACTGTGCTTTGTCACTGCGGATCTTCTGGGACACAGATCCTTCATGAATTGTTAGGGCATTCTGTTCAGAACAAGCAAGATGGGCCTCCCATCCTAAAGTGGCCTGACAACGCCCTCTAGTGGGGATTATAAACAACAGCAGGACAGTATGTTCAATTCATCCTCGGACACTAAAGTGGTTTCAGGGCTCCCCATAACATGGCAAACAAACCACAACAGATTATCCTGACGAAGATAATCCTAACACACAAGGGTGGGAGCTGGCAGCCCACGCTGGGCACCCACCCTGGCCAGCTGCACCCCTTCTCAGTCTCTGGCTTCTGCACATCCTAAGGAGGGGCTGTGCTGTGGAGGGAGCTAACAGTCGCCTCAGAGTCTGGGCAGACTGCCTGCCGGTGCCAGGATGATGCCAAAGACGTAGAAAAGCCCCAGAAGGAGGTTGAGCTTGGCTGTCCTCTGGGGTAGCTTGTTGAAAGCCTGGCTGCGGAACTGCCTCTCAAGGGAGAAGGCCACGGGGATGGTGAGCAGGGGCAGCGCCAGGCTGATGCTGCAGTGCGTGGCCAGGATGCTGAAGATCAGGTAGGGCAGAAAGAGCAGCGTGGTGTAGAGCACGTAGGAGAGGGTGGGCCCGATGAGGATGGCCAGAGTGACAATGCCGGCCTCCTGGTCAGACTCCATGTCCCTGGTGTTGTTGGAATGGAGAATGGCCTCCGTGCTGAGGGCCAGAGGGATGGCATAGACTAGAGGGAAGATGGCCAAGGACCCCACCTGGACAGCGTAGGCGAACATCACAGCCAGGGGGCCGAAAGTGATAAGGATGATGAGGTCTCCCAGTGCCACATACTTGAATCCAATTCCTGCAGACAGAAAAGCCAGAGATGCAGTGTGAACCAAAGGCTGTCCAAGAAATGGCTGTGTCTGGTGAGAGGCTGTGATGGTATGCAATCATTGGGGTACCCCAATAAATGACCCAGTACAGACTCAGGTCTCTGAGCTCAACTGCCAGGTACTTGCCAAGTTTACCCTTTAGGTTTTATCCCCCAAACCAGTTTCTGCTACAAAGTGCCCTGAACTCCCAGTACGCAGAGATGATACAAGTCCAAGAACATGCAAAAGGCTTGATGATCCACTATTAGACCATAAAGTTCTTCTGCCTTCTCCAGCCCCGGAAGGCAGAATGTCCATCCTGCCTCCTTCCCCTCTAGTCTTTCTTAAAAGACCCCACTGAACGCCATGGCATTTCACAAGCTACACACTTCCATATAAGGACACCGTCACTCATAGGAGGAAACCAGTGCAGTTATCGTGCACTGCCCCCCCCCTGTGGTTTCCTTCAAAACCAAGCCATTCCTAGCGACCGTTCTGCTCCTAGGCCTGCCTGTAACTCCTTCCCAGCCTCCTCCCTCCATCTCCAGCACCACACGACATCCTAAGTCCAAATCAGGGTCACCTTACTCTGGAATACTACAATTCTTCCTAGGTGGCCTTTGATCTCGTATGAACCTCCCATCCCATTCCAGTGTTCCTTTAGAACTCTGGGATTGCCCTTCCCACACACCCTCAAACCCTCAACAACCCTGTGTCTTTGGAATCAAAGTCCCAGCATCTGGCTTGCCAGACTTGGCTCCCACTGGGAGTATTTGGCACAGAGCTACAGTAACAAACACTTCCTTCAACCTGGAACCGAGGTCAGGAGGTCAAGAATATTTCCCACTCAGTCTGAAACAGTAAAGTCACGTGCAATGGTGGGAGATGGGCATTAGCATCCAAACTTTGGTTGCTACAGTAACAGGGAAGCCTTTGGATCTGGTGATGCTATAAGGCAGGCCTCAGAGTATCTGATTATATTTTACCCAGTCTAAAATAAGAGACGACATGCCGGGCAGTGGTGGCGCACGCCTTCACTCCTAGCACTCGGGAGGCAGAGGCAGGCAGATTTCTGTGAGTTCAAGGCTAGCCTGGTCTACAGCATGAGTTCCAAGATAGACTCCAAAGCTAAACAGAGAAATCCTGTCTCAAAAAACTAAAATGGGGGGTGGGAGATAACAGATGACAATGGTCTTCAGGGGATCTAAAACCATAGGAACTAAGGACCAAGATCTGGCCAACTTCACCTTCACAGAAGTAATGGGTCTGCTGGCTCCAAGTGAGCACCCCTGGTTTTTAAAGTGCAGCACTCCCACAAGGCATCACAGGCATGAGCCCTCAGTTTCCCAGCACCAGAAAGCTGATTCCACACAGCCACACTGTGTGTCGATAACTTGGTTATCTGAGGACATGTGCCCAGGAGGAAGTGCCTGCAAGAGGAACAGCAGCCCATGTTCCCCACATACTGCACGTATTCAGGAAGCCTCCCTCAGGCTAAGCTAGCGTGATGCTCCCCTACTTTCTCTTACATTCGCTGACCCACACACCACAACAGGACACCGGATGGGGAAGATGTAACCTCTGGCTGGATGATCCAAAGACCCCTCCTTCCTCAGATCAGCAAGCAAAAAGTGACTCAGCTTCCTATGGACCCTCAGCCATGAGCATGCTTCCCGGCCACTCCTTCCTGAAGCCCCTCACTTCCACTACATGGCTGTTTGCCTACCTCCACTGCAAAAGGCATGGCTTTCTTCTTTCTCTTTTCCATCTCCCTCTTCCCAGCAGCTAGAGATGTGCAGCTTGCTTTGACTCTAACAGAACTATACTCAAGCTTCAAAACAAAGCAAACAAACAAAATGGGTGGTGGTGGCGCACGCCTTTAATCCCAGCAGAGGTAGGAAGATCTCTGTGAGTTCAAGGCCAGCCTGGTCTAGAAGAGCTAATTCTAGGACAGGCTTCAAAGCTACAGAGAAACCTCGTCTTGAAAAACCAAACAAGCCGGGCGGTGGTGGCGCACGCCTTTAATCCCAGCACTCGGGAGGCAGAGGCAGGCGGATCTCTGTGAGTTCGAGACCAGCCTGGCCTACAAGAGCTAGTTCCAGGACAGGCTCCAAAACCACAGAGAAACCCTGTCTCGAAAAACCAAAAAAAAAAGAAAAACCAAACAAACAAAAACAAAACAAAACAAAATCACAACAGAAACCTGGGTCCCCCTTACGCAGGTCTTCCCCTAAAGCCACTCAAGGAGAAGAAAGGTTTTAGTCTTGAGTTTATCTGGTGGAAGAAAATGACAGAGCTTCTGGAGAGAGAACTAAGTGTAAGACATGGCCCGAACTCTCCTGACTCAGAGATGCGACCCACATGGGAGTCTCTTCTCAAGCATTCCCACCCCTTCAGACACCATGTTCTGAAGGAAACAGCACAGTGAAATACTGGGACCATTCTCTGCTTAGCAGCCAGAATTAATCTGTTAAACCAGGCTGGCCTCGAACTCACAGAGATCAAAAGTTGGCCAGGTGGCAGTGCATGCCTGCAATACTAGCGCTTGCAAGACAGAGTCAGGAGGAGCAAGAGTTTCTAGCCAGCCCTGCTACACACAAAGAAGCTAACTCAGGGAGGAAGCTGGCAAAGGTGCAGAGCCACTGAAGTCTCATGCCGCTGTGGGCTGTGGGAATATGAGCAGTACAAGTGCTTCTTCTTGGGTTAGCAACTCTTTGTAGAATTAAACGGCACCCAGTGGAGGCCACGGCAGTTTCATTTCCAGGCATTTACTCAAGAGAAATGAAAACAAATGCTCATAAAAAGACTTGAACATGAATGCTCAGTCACAATAGAAAAAAGAGACACAACCCCAAGGTCCCTGAACAGAGGAGCAGAACACAGTGTGGCTGTCTCTCAACAGATGCTGCTCAATAATAACAAGGAGCTGCTGACATGAGTGACAACATGGTGAGCTTCAAAACCATCACACTGGGCAAAGGAGGCCAGACTCAAAGCGCTCACACGGAGGTCAGACATGGCAGCCCACACTTTTCATCTCAGCGCTCGGGATGCACAGGCAGGAGGATCTCTGGGAGTTGGAGGCCAGCCTGGTTTACATAGTGTATTCCAAGCTAGCCAGTACCATAAAGAGACAAAAGCAAAACAAAACCAAAAAAATCCCCCAAACAAAAACAGAGTTCATACTGCAATAAACAAAGTCACACGCGATCCATGTGGAATGGGTCCCTGCACACGGCACTCTAGACCACACAACTAACCTGAGTGAAAGGAACTAGAAGAGTAGTTACCTGCGCATAGACGAGGAAGGATGGGGCTGGGAGAAGAGCCCAAGGAAGCGATAGGGGTGATGGAGAGGCAAGGACTACACAGCTGCTCGTGTTCATCAAGGTTCACCAAACAAACACACTTCACTGCATGTCAATTCTCTACCAATAAAGGCCAATGTTAAAAGGAAATCTACAGATGGGCAGTGGTGGTACACACCTGTAATCCCAGCATTCTGAGACGGGCAGATCTCTGAGTTCAAGGCCAGTCTGAATTACAGAGTTCCAGGAGAAACTTTGTCTTGGACAGGCGGGAGAGATTATAAAAAGAAAATCTACGGGGCTGGAGAGATGTCTCAGTGGTTAGGAGTACTGGGAAGAGACCTTTGTACTTCTGGCCCATCAGCCCTGACTCAGCACTGCAACCAGATTCTAATTCTAACCCAGGGCCAATTCTGTCTCCTCCATGTCCTGGTTAAAATGTCTCTAAAATGAAGAGAATGCCACGGTTTCAAGAATTCCCAAGAGCTGTGTGCTGAAGAGTTAGTCGCTGGGCTGGTGGAATATTTTATCTTTAACATCTGTCTTTATTAAAAATGTGTATGCGCCTGTGTGAGTGGATAGCACACACATGCAGGGGCCTGTGGAGACCAGCAGAGGACGATCGGTCCTGTGGAGCTGAAGTTACATAGGCAGTTGGCAGTGCCCATGTGGTGCTGGGAGTCAAACCTGGGTCTTCTACAAGACCCGCAAGCACTCTGAATGCTAAGTCGTCCCAGTGGTAGAATTTCTAAGAGGAGTGGAGTCTTCGTAGGAGGCTTTCCAATCATGTGGGGGTGTGTACTTGAAGGGGACACTGGGGCCTGGGTCTAGCCCACTCTTCTTTCTCTATTCACTACCAGACCCAAGCCAAATGGACTTCCTCAGTATGGATTCCCGCCACATGTACTATCTTGTCAAAGACCAAAACACCATAGGCCAAGCCGGGCGATGGTGGCGCACGCCTTTAATCCCAGCACTCGGGAGGCAGAGGCAGGCAGATCTCTGTGAGTTTGAGACCAGCCTGGTCTACAGAGCTAGTTCCAGGACAGGCTCCAAAGCCAAAGAGAAACTCTGTCTCAAAAAACCATAAACTGGAGCCTAAAACTAAGTAAGTCTTTCCCCATTTTAAGTCAAATAACTCAGGCATTCTGTTATAGTAGCAGAAAGCTGACCAGCAGAGGGCTCCTCCCTTCAACACCACCTTACACTTTCTACCAGGGTCCTACGGGTTTCCCTCATCAAATCCTCACTATGTGTGTGTGTGTGTGTGTGTGTGTGTGTGTGTGTGTGCGCGTGCGTGCGTGTGTGTGTGTAGAGAGAGAGAGACTTGCCTGAAACTCACTATGTAGACCAGACTGGCTTTGAACTTAGAGACCTGCCTGCCTTTGCCTTCTTTTTTTTTTTGGATTTTTTGAGACAGGGTTTCTCCGTAGCTTTTTTTGGTTCCTGTCCTGGAACTAGCTCTTCTAGACCAGGCTGGCCTCGAACTCACAGAGATCCTCCTGCCTCTGCCTCCCGAGTGCTGGGATTAAAGGCGTGCGCCACCACCGCCCGGCTGCCTCAGACTTTTTTAATTGCCCTACATTTACAACAGGCTACAGGGCAACTACAGTCTCTTGATTTCCTTCCACTCCTTCCATCTCCTTTATATGGTCCTCATCTTCCCCTCCTCTTAGGCTGGAGGGCTATAGGGCCCAGAACTTCTCCTCTGTGCTTTCCCACCAACTCTACAACTTTATCTATGGGCCAGTGGCCCCCTGACCTGTCTCTCTAGCCCAGGCCTCTCCATTAACCAACTATCCACCTCACATCTCCACTTGGAGCTCTAGCATAAGATGTCCAAAGTCAATCCCAACTTCTTCCCTTCAAAAACCAATTCTAGCCTTGCCTTTCTCCCATCTGGCATGACAATATCAACTGTGCCCTTCTGGTGGCGCAGGCCGAACCTTCTGAGTCAAACTTAACTCTGTGGCATTTCTACCTAAGAACCAATCCACTGGCAAACAATGTCTACCTCCAACGTCTGCTCAGAACCTGCCTCACCTCTCTGTGGCCACCACCCTGATGCAAGTCACCAAACATCTTGCCTGAACTGCTCAAGGGCCTCTGACCTGGTCTTTGTTCTTCTACCCTTGCCCACCCTACTTATCCATCCACAATACCATAGCCAGAGAGACTCTTTTGAGCCATGACATCACACTCCTATCCAAAGTCCTGCAATGTCCCCTGTACTTTAAAGTGCAAGAGGCCAAAGGGGGGAAAATGCCTATGCAGTCTGCATGCCTCCCACCTCTCCCCAGACACACCCCTCTTCGCCTAGCTTCCTGGACTGCGTCCCTCACACACACAGTGGGTTTCCTCTTCCTCAAAGTCATCAGGGACTTTGGCACTTGCTGCCCCGCATACCTAGAGTCCTACTCCAGACATCGACACGCCAACCCTATCATCTCTCACTGCCTTCAATCTAGTTCAGGTGTTATCTCCTTAGTGAGGCCCATGTCAATCGAACTACTTAAAATTGTCTTCATTGTCCTCTTCTGTGTCCTGCCACCATAGCACTTAGCACCTCTTATACCCAGTTATCCACTGCATCACACGACAGTTAGTGATGGACCAGATACACAAAGGTTCCTAGAGATTAAAAGGGAAGATGACAAAAAAAATTAAACGCCTTTGTTAATAGTCTATGTAGTTATTAAATTAAATGCCTGTTAATGGTCTACATAGTTATTACCATGCTTTCTGATTACGAGCTAAACTTCTTTTCTTTTCTTTCTTTTTTTTTTTTTTTTTTTTTTTTTTTTTTGGTTTTTCGAGACAGGGTTTCTCTGTGTAGCTTTGGAGCCTGTCCTGGAACTAGCTCTTGTAGAACAGGCTGGCCTTAAACTCACAGAGATCTGCCTGCCTCCGCCTGCCGAGTGCTGGGATTAAAGGCGTGAGCCACTACTGCCTGGCTTCTGAGCTAAACTTTTTCTAAGTTGAGTGTGTACACATGTGTGAGAGAGGTCTGAAGACAGCTTTTGGAAGTTGGGTCCTCTCCTTCTACCTCGTGGGTCCTGGAGATCATACTCAAGCATCAGGCTTGGTGGTAGGAGCCTTTATCTACTGAGCCATTTTGCCAGCCCACATTATGTTGTTATATGTGTGTGTTTCTTTGTGTGCATGTGCACTGAGGCCCCAAGAGGGTGTTGGATCCCCTGGAGCTGAAATCAAGTGTGTCTGTGAGGGGCTCAACATGGGTGCTGGGAACTGAACATGGGTCCTCTGCAAGAACAATAAGATCTCTCTCTCTCTCTCTCTCTCTCCCTCTCTCTTCTTTTTCCTTTTTTTTTTTTAATGCAATCGAGTTTCCTGCATTTGGGGAAATTGCAGGGGTCAGCTCAGCACATCTGGATGCAATGATTAAGACTCACTCTAGGAGGGCTATTTTGTGATCACGTATTTCCCCTACAAGGTTTATTTATGTATTTTACGTACATGAGTGCTCCGTATGAATATATGCCTGCATGCCAAAAGAGGACAGACCGATCCCATTGTAGATGGTTGTGAGACACCATGTGGATCTTTGGAAGAGCAGCCAGTGCTCTTAACCACAGAGCCATCTCTCCAGCCCCAAAGTAAGACATCTTACAGGTTAAGCCATGTCTCCAGCTGGTAATGTTCATAATCCACTGCCGAACCAAGGTCTTCACAACTTAAAGTTTCCAAAGTAGCCACGGCACACAAACTTTGGATTTCCAGTCAAGTCGTCTAAGTTAGTCAGGCGTCTTTGACACTTCTACAGTTCCTGTGTAAAGGAACAGTTTCCAGTTCAGGCAACTGAGACCTTAGAGCAGGAAACAGGTCAATTCTTACCTCCCGTGTAGAGAAAAGAGCTCGACAGGCCTCCAAAGTAGATGAGAGCCAAGTGCTCCAGTTTCAGAGTGGACAGGCAGTAGAGGCAAGCGGCACAGACACAACCCAGGGTGTAGAGGAAGACTCCAAACCGAACAACATCCTGGGGCTCCAAGATTCGATCCACCAGAGTCCTGTCGTCACTCTTTTTGTGGTCAATGCCCTTGGAAAAGTCATAGTAAGTGTTGACCAAATTGCCGGCCCCGTGCACAGCCAGGACAGCCACTGCGCAGCCCACCAAGAGCCTGGGATCCAGGATACCCTGGGATCTGTAGGCCAAGGCACTGCCCAGGGCCACAGGGGTGAGTGAGGCACTGAAGCTCCAGGGCCTCAGGGCCAACACATAAGAGGCGCACTTCTGTCTCCAGGAACGCGGTGGAAGGCTGTCCTGCTCGGGCCAGTCGTCCCCCAGGGGGTCCCTGTCCCCGACCTTGGTCGTCTCTCCTGCCTGGATATTAATCTTCTCCCCCGGGGCCTGCAACGCAGCCATGGAAGTGACACGTGGCTAAAGTCAATTCTAAAAGGGAGCCACTCACGGGGACCGCCCCAGGACGAAGATAGGCTGGGCAGCCTGACCTGACCTTTCTTTAGTTCCGCCCCGGGACAGGGTTTGGGGGGCGGTATAAACATGGGACAGCAGAGAGCAGGCCATGCACCCCAACGGGGCCGGCGGCACTGCCCCAACCACCTGTCACCTGAGCGAGGCCTGTGTGGTTCCCTGTCCCGCACCACAACTTAACAACCAGCCACAGCCCGCGGCCTCCAGCGGGCCACCGGCGCCGCCATCTTGTGCACCGGCCTCAAGAGGCCGGCCGGGAAACCCAGGCCCGGGACTAGAAGGGCCGGAAGAAGGCCGGCGGGGGGCGTGGTCAAAGCCCAGAGCCGGGGTTCAACAAATAAACTAAAAGCAAGAGTCACCGGAAAATGATCCGGTTAGCACCCCAAGGATTTCAGGGCGTGTCGCTTTGCGATGTATTGGGCCGGTTCGCTTACTGAAATAAGACTCATTGTGATGGGGATGGTTACCCCAATAAATCCTACGTTGAAAATGCTCTGTGCAAGCTGGGCCTGGTGGTGCACCTCTGTGATCCTAGCACTTGGAAGATGATGGCAGGAAGCAAATTCAAGGACATCCCTTATTATATAATGAGTTCAAGGCCAACCCAAGCTGCATGAGATCCTATATTAAAGAAGAAAAAGGAGAAAGGAAAGAGGGAAGAGGGAAGGGAAGGGGAAAGGAGAAAAACGGAACACCAAACGAAAAGGAAGGACAGAAAGAAAAGAAGAAAAAGTAAGTGTTTATAAACAGAGAGCCAGGAAAAGAAAATACGGTGAAATGTTATGGATTATATATGTATAGCTATAAGAAAAAAGAACGAGGAAGTTTGCTGTGTACTAAGATGCAAAGACCTACACAATAGACTGGGTTTTTATTTCTTTCTTCATTTGGAAAAAGAACTGGAGAGATGGTTCGGTGGTTAAAAGGAGTGGCTTCCCTTCCTGAGGACCTGAGTTCAATTCCCAGCACCCAGAAGGCAACTATAACCACCTCTAAATCCAGTCAGTTCCAGGGCATCTGGTGCCCTCTTCTGGCCTCTAAGGGCACTAGGCACACATATGGTGTGCATACATGCAGGAAGATCACAGTAGTATACATGCAGGCAAAACACAGATTCACATAAAATCCAATAATAAAACTACAAGGGCCTGTGTAGCCCAGACTGGCCTGGAACCAGTAATGTAGACCACAATGCCCTTGAAATTCTGATCTGACACCAAGTGCTGAGATTATAAACACTCACCCACACACTTGGTTTTAGGTGGTGCTAAGGATTCTACCCCCTAGGCAGATAAACTACCACCTGAACTACATCCCAGTCCTACAGTTTGCAGGCTGTTGTGAGCTACCTGATATGGGAACTGAACCCGAGTGCTCTGGAAGAGCAGCCCGTCCTCAGCCAATGGCCATCTCCACTCCTTATTTCACATTTTCTTCTTTAAATTAATGTTATTTATCCTTTTCAAATATTTATTTTATACTTTAAATTAATGTTATTTTTTCATATGTTTATTTATGGGATGATGCACTGTTCTAGGTCACATGACAACTTGCAGGGTTAAGTTCTCTCCATCCACCTTGTGGGTTCTGGGGTTTGACCTCAGGTCTTTGGGTTTGGAGGCAAATGCCTTTATCCCGGATCATCTTGCTGGCCCTCTCTTACTTTTTGACACAGCATCAAATATAGCCTGGAACTCAAGATCCCTCTGCTTCAGTTGCCCAGGTGCCCGGATTACAGGTGTGTATTTGTAAATAAGGAAAAAGCTCTCAAATAGTTAAAAAATATTTTTAAATTATAAAACATTGTTACATTTCTTATGTATTAAACTAGAGAAATGTTACAGATAGATAGATGATTGATAGATAATGATTGATAGATAGATGATAGATAGATAGATAGATAGATAGATAGATAGATGTAGATACAGATATTTGAGACAGGGTTGAGGACCCTGCCTGACTCCATTTTGAAGGTAGGAGGCCTTATGTTGCATTGTTAAAAATAAGTTTCCATTTGCTGTAAGAGCCGATTGCTGCTTTTAGTCTGTTTCCTGGAGCCCGATCTGCCCCAAGTCACGACCTACATCTACTTAATTACATGACCACATGGAGTTTTTTGAGATTTTTTTTCTATAATATCTAAAGAAAGTATGTCTTTTGATGGGCAGTGCTGGCACAGGTCTTTAATCCCAGCATTTGGGAGGTAAAAGGCAGGTGAATCTCTGTGAGTTCAAGGCCAGCCTGGACTACACTACGAAAGCAAGTTCCAGGACAGTCAGGGCTGTTACACAGAGAAACCCTGTCTTGAACCCCTCCCCCAAAATAAGAAAAGAAAGTATGTCTTCCCCAGATCTTATTACATTTTATTGGCATCTCAATTTATTTATTTGTTTTGGTGGTTGTTTTTGAGACAGGGTTTCTCTGTGTAACAGCCTTGGCTATCCTGAAACTCACAGAAATACGCCTGTCTCTGTCTCCAGAGTGCTGGAATTAAAGGCATGGGCCACCAGGCCCATCAGCATTTCTCCAATTTAATACCTAAGAAATGTATCAATGTTTTATAAAAGGTACTACTGTAGTATAATTTGTACTTTGGAATTTTCCTTTTTGCTTCTTAACTTTAAAACGTAACTTTTAAAAACCTAATTGAGAACCTTTACCTTATTAGCAAATATTTATCTGCATTATCATTATTAATAGCTTCACGTTTCTCCTAATACTAATTTATTTAATATTTTATTCAAATTCCCAATTCAAGCTATTTAGGAATTTTCAATGTCTATCACAACTGATATAAAAATAAAAATTACACAAGATGTGCATAAATTTCATTTGAATTTTTAAATTTTTTTTATATTGGTGTTTTACCTGCGTGTACGTCTATGCACCTGTGTGTGCCTGATGCTGGCAGAGCCCTGTATAGGGAGGGCATCAGATCCCCTGGAACCGGAGTTACAAGGAGTTGTGAGCCATCAACCGAGTGCAGGCTACCTGGAAGGGCAGCCAATGCTCTTAGCCACTGAGGCTTCTCTCTAGCCCCGACCTTGAATTCCTGATCCTCCAACCTCCTAGAGTGTTGGGGTTACAGGCGTGTCCTTTATGTGGTTCTGGGGACTGAATCCACGACTTTCATGCCTGTTGGGCAAGCAGTCAATCAACTGAGTTACATTTACAGCTCCGGCTACTGCCTGTTTGACAGATTTTTTTTTAAAAAAGGATTTTGCTTTAAAATCTTGCATTTAAAGTAGTTTCTTGGTGATCGTCTCTCAAGAATGACCTTTTCAAAAGTAACGCAATCTGGGGGCAGTGAGAAGAAAATAAAAACTTTCAAATGCATATTAAATTTTACAAAGGAGAAAGCACGAGTCTCCTAGTAAACCGGTTCCCAAGATAGTATGCCGTCTGCAGTCATTCGAGGGCGTCAGACACTCGGCTCCTTCTCAGCATCACGTCGGGCGCGGTCCCCAATTTCTACCCAGCTCTTCCAATAGGTACGCGCGGTCCCTAAACACGGCCGCCACACGGTCACAACTCACACGGAGGGGAACCGTAGTAGCGACGCACCGGATGTGTGCGTGGAAGTGACCGAAATCAACTCACAACTGATTGGTTCTCCGGAAAAGTCTTAAGCTTCTTTCGCTTGCCACTGGCCGCGTGTTTTGTCTATTTGAACAATCCCCGCCCCGCCAGAAGCCGGTCCCGAAGCTCTACTTTTTCATGAGTATTGGTGAATGTTCCTGCCCATCTTCGTTCTCAGCCAGCTGATTGGCTGTCGGGCTTGCGAGCCTGCCTTCCCCTCCCGGGCCCAGAGGACAGCGGGGAAGGCGGGTGGTGGGACTGGGGGCCTGAAGTGGCGGTACCGGCTCAGGCGGCAGCAGCTGAGGCGGTGGCCGAAGCCGCGCGGTGAGTCTGGGGCCTGGAGCCGAGCGCCTGCGGCCGGCGGGATGTCCAGACTCACGGCCAGTCTGGGCCGTGCTGGGGGAGGCCCGGGAAGCCGCCCGTCTGGACCAGGCAGCGCCTCCACACCAGCCCCGCCACCGGGGCGGCCCACACTGCGCCCTCAGGGAGACCCCCAGGCTGGCGGATCTGCTCCGGGCCTGCCGTGGTGCCTTTAGGTCTCATGCCCGGTCTCGGTCACCCTTCGAGAACCACCTACAGACTGTGGAGCCTGCCCCTGGGAGCTGCAGCCTCCTAGACCGGGGTCAGCCCCCTACACCGCACCTGGACACCTGTCGGGGACCCAGACCTCCGAGCTGAGCTAGGTTCCACCCTCCGAGCTCACGCTGTGTCTGCCTCGCCCATGTCCTCACTTCTTGTTTCAACCTTTCAACGTGAACTTCTCTAAGGCATGACCAAAACCTTTGGGATTCTGTGACTCCAAGTAGTTTAGTTACTTTGAATCCAGCCTGGGGCAGCTGTCTTGTAGGGAAAGCCTAAAATGACGCTCTACTTTCGTGAGAATAGAAATTTCGTGTCGGCCTCCCTCCTGCTGCCTCGTGTGTGTACACACTTAGGAGTAGTTTCTTCCTCCCTAAAAGGGTCTGCTTCCTTTCGTAGTACCTTTTTTTCTAGACAGCAGTGCAGTGTTTGAAAGTTTTTCAAAACCATTTGTTCTGCAGTTTATTTACCCATCTCCTAGAGCATGACCTTGAACTTCTGATCCTTCTGCCAGCGCTTCTTGAGTGCTGGGCTTAAAAGTGCGCGCTCTCCTGCCTTGGTTATGTGATGCTGGGGATATCAGGAAGTGTGTTTGTTTTTAGTGTAATCTGGCAGGATGGGTGTGCATGTCACTTCCATGGCGTTGTGAGCTAGCCTCCTTTTTATGGTCCCCCTGAATTGTAAACTCACTGGGGAAACAGCACAGAGTTGAGCAATGAGTGGTCCCTTTCAGCTCACAACTCTAATCAGTTGCCCCTTCCTGTCAGGGTGGGTTTGTTTTGGAACTGCCTTCCCAACCCAGTGAAAGCCTGTCCCTCATGAAATGGTGTAGTACTCGTAGATATCCTTTTGTATGCTTTAAATCATGCCTATGTTGCTTTTAATGTCAAATACAACAGAAAGCATTGTTATACCATATCATGTAGCAAATAATGACAAGAAGCCTGTGTATGTTCAGTGCAAACTAAGGGTTCTCCTGCCCCATTGTTTTTCCTTTTCAAATTTACACTTTTTTATCAGGGGAGGCGTGCATGCACTGGTGCGCACCTGGAAGTGAGAACAACGTGTAGGTGTCAG